GTGAAAATTTCATGTCATTAGCACCTCTAGTAATATATTTACTGAGAAAAATGGTGACGTGTTCAATACTTATTTTACCCGCTGTATATATATTATTTGCTCAATTTACTCAACTAGGCTTAGTGGAGCCAATTGACACGACTTTGTTGAGTAAATTCAACATTTCATTTTTTTAGTGCAGAAACATCTTTCATGATGAGTTTGAACATATTTAATTTTGTAACAACTAGGTGTTACATTTTAAAGTAAAGAATTAAAAGTATAATTTTTAGCTTTAAAATTAAATGAAATAAAAGTAAAAGTAGCGATTCAAAAAAAAAGTTGGTTAAATTACAAATCCTCAAAAAATAAAAACTATTTAAGTCCTGTAACAAAGTAAATGTACTTACTATAAACCTCTGCTTGTATGTATATATTTGAACTTGTGTGTATCTTTTAGAATCTGTGTGGGTCAGAGAAAATCCACAATAAATTCAAACTTGTGCGATCAGTTCTTGTACAAGACAGAGGACGCCTTTTTAACACCTAAAGTAAATCCAGTAAATGCAAAGTCTTTTAAAAAATACATATTTTTTTTAGTAATTACAGTGGTTCTCTGCAAAAAAAATTACAAAAACCAGTGAGTTTAAAATATTTTTATTAAGGAATTTTTTTTCCCTGTACAGGAGTTTGTGTATTCCACGTGTTAGTTCTGTACAAGCAACTGTACAACAGGAGGCCAACGGGAAGAAACGAGGAAATGTGTTCATTTATCTGACTGCTTCCAGCAGCAGGCAGCTCAGAAAGTGAGCATGGACTGATCACACACGCACACACGCACACACACACACACGCACACACACACACACACACATACGCACCCTCAAGTTTATCTACAACATAATGTTTGACTGGTCCTGGAGACAGAGAATTAAACTGCAGGTGAAATAGTTACTGATAAAATAATAATAATAATAATTGTTCCAGGGGAGAAAAAGCAACAAATATCCTCCATAAAAGATCCCGTTCAGTTATTTTTATATTCAAATTTAAAACAAAGTGCTGCTAATCTTAATGAAGTCAATGTTTTAAATTCACACAAGAGCAAAAAGAGTCAGATATTTATGCTGCTATAAATGTTAATTTTTTTGGTCATGAAGGCCAACCACTCCACTGTTCAGAAATGTGGTGGGAAAAACAGAAATAAACATGGTGGTTTGAAGAAAAACTAATAACATATCAAAGCAGGAGCATCTCTTCAGCCATTTGTTTAAAGTTAAATTAAGAAGTGTTACTCATACAGCTGTCGTCTCTTCTCATTTTTTTTAATTCAGATATTTTGCTTTTCAAGTACTTTAAGTGTAAAAATTAAAAAAAGAAAAAGAAATACTGCCAGCTGTATGTATTTTCACCTTATGTTGGAAATCAACGGAGAAACAACTAAAGTTGTGTGGTCCCAAGTAACGTACAGTGTCATTACTAAAAAAAAACAACATTAAACAGATAAAAGCGTAACAGAGAATTATCTGACCTTCATCTAAAACCTCAGTCATCCTGTGGCTTCCTCAGATAAATAAATACTTCTGCACACATACAGTGACTTGGCTTCGCTAATTATATTTGCTTAATATATGAGGAGTGTAAACACATAAAGACAACTGTTTAAAAAAAACACAACATAATGAGCTGACAGGCAAATAAAAAATAAAAATTAATTGAAAAATGCCCAAGTTTTAAAAGTTAATGTCCCCCTTCAACCTCTCTGCAGTTACTCTGCTGCGCCACCAGAGGGCACCAGAGGACAGGGACAACAAGGCAGCAGGTTCATGTAAACAAACACACCAACTTTTTAGCTTTAAAATTCAAAACTGAACGAAAACCATCAAGTGTGAGCGTASATGAGAAACAGAGGAGAGGCACCAGGAGTGGGTTAACGTGTCTAAACCAGAGCTTAAATGGTTTCTGCCAGCAGTGAAGCTGAGCAGATCAGGCCTGCTTTGCTGCTGCAGAATAAAGCTGGTCCCTTTATGGGCTGCAGTTGGAAGCCTGCAGTCGGTGCTTGCAGCACTGCACCGTGGTCTCGTCCTGCCTCTTATTTATGCACAATAATCTCTTATTCATGCCACGCTCTCTCATCCTGTCCTGTTTTTACATCGGCCTCGCTGAGCAGAAACATTAAACGCTCCGGGTTTCTCTTCTCTCGGAATGTCAGTCGGTGCCGGGTGGAGAGGGTTGTTGTTATTTTTGTTGATGCGGATGATGCAAATAAGGCAAAAGAGGACATGATGTCAAAACAAGCCATTAAAATCAGGTTGTAGGATACATTAGGTGCCAAAACAGAGATGTTTGTTTGGCTTCTGTAAAAACAGCTTTTTGTGTTTATTTTTATTTTAGATGGAGCTACAAAATACCTTCCTGACTGACATCCAGAAGAACTAAACAGCTTTTATTTTCTCCTCGAATTTAGACTAAACAAGGATGGATTTATGCTGTTTTAGACTGAACCTCTTCATCTGTTTTCTGTCACTTCTTCACCTCACTTCTGGCTTCAGGTCTGACATTTGAAATGCTTCAACCTCCAATTCTAGAAGAATTTAGCTTTGTGTTCATCATGGCCCTCTTCAGATCCAGCTAAGACTGGATTTTAGGATTTCTGCTCCGCAGGGGCAGCAGGTGCAGCCTGACTCTCTGGCTTCACGATCTGGTAGGTGATCAGGTACTCTGGGTATGCCTGAGGACAAAACAATACAGAAAAGTCAAATAAGGAGGCAGTCTGAACGACTGCTGATATTTATTATAAAAGGTAAATAATCAAAAAAATAAAAAAATAAAAAATTAAAACCCGCAGTACAAAAGTTAAAACCTAAAATCAGCAATATAGTACCTTCAAATGAAAACAAGCAATAGCAAAATGCAAAAATTTGGGAAAAAAAACAGGTAGGAGCTTAAGCTAGAAAATTAAGGAGAGGAAAAATAGTAATTGGGCTAAAACAAGAATTTAAAACAGTAGCTAAATGGTAAGTTTTAAAAAAATTAGCTGAAATCTAAAACCTACAGAACACTAAGCTAAAATCTAAAATAAGAAAAGTGGCAAAAGATTAACAAAACAGTAGCTAAAGGTTAATGCTAGAAAATTAGTGGCTAAGTGCTAGGACCAGAAAAAAGTAGTAAAACGTTTAAAAAAATAAAGCATTTTAGCCAAAGGAAATTTCAAAGAGCACAAAGTTCTGTTTTTTTTTTAGGTGAAATTGTTTTTTCTGAGAAAAAAAAATCAAAAAGCAAAGTTAAAAAATGTAAAAGTATCAAAGTTACAGAAAACAAGTCCTGGCTGTAACTTAAGAAACGATAAAGAGGAAAAGAATTTCCTAAAAAAGCACCGACCTGCTCTCCTCTGTAGATGACGTACTCTGCGTACGCCAGGCCGTTGACACTGGGCCGTCCTATAACTGAGTGGTGACCCGGGGGGGCGTGGGCCATTTTCATTGCACTAAACTGAAGAAAGGACTTCCCCAGAGTCACCCGACAGAACAGCATCTGTCTGCAAACACAAACAGACCAAGACTTTGAACAGAAAAAACTCAACGTCATGCTTTTTTTATTAGAGCTGCGCAGGATTTGGAAAACCTGCAAAAATACCGGGGGGACAATACTGGTTGCAAATAAACCCACGTTTTTCTCCTTACCTTAGTATGC